CGAATGCCACGCATCTGATATGTACATACATCAATTAGAAGATTTATTGAGTCATTCCTGCCCGAAGAAAATTGCCGCATTCTTTGCCGAACCCATTCAGGTAAGTATTCTCATTATTTTGTGATTAATACAATGATTTTTCTGAAAACAAAAATAATTTACTGCGTATGAGATTTTTTAAACTACTCTCAGCACTGATTGGCTAATCCTTTCATTTGAATATCTGATTTTAAAGTAGATATTGATTGATTTTGATTATTGTAGCATAAATTAATAAAATCTTGAATTTTTCAAACATGGATGGAATAGTTATTTACTTGATTTTTGTTTTTGATAATAAAGGGTGCAGGAGGAATTAATCAGTTTCCAAAAGATTTCCTGAAAGGTGCTTATAAAGCAGTGAGAGCAAAAGGAGGTTTATGCATTGCTGATGAGGTTCAGACAGGATTTGGAAGACTTGGAAGTGAATATTGGGGATTTGAAACTCACAATGTAATGCCAGATATTGGTAAGATGACAATTTAATTTGCAAAATTCATCACTGAAGGTCATTAATACAGGATTTTTAGTGAATGCAAAGCTATTTGCAAGATTGTACCTGATTGGCTACCCAATCTTAACACCAAACAGTCAGACCAATCAGAGAGCAGCTTGTTTGTTGAAAGTTTTTTTCGACGTATCAAATTCTGCCTTGTATATGTGCTTCTACTCAACTGTAGATTTTTACCCAAAGCAGTGCAGGTCATCATGACAATATAAACAATCTATGATCATAAAATGAATGTTACATTTTTTCTCCACAGTAACCATGGCAAAAGGAATTGGCAATGGTTTCCCTATGGCAGCTGTGGTCACAAGAAAAGGTAGGAATGTATTAAAAAGTCATAGGTCATAGTGGGTCATGACCCTCTTCATTCAAGGCAAATATTACCTGGGGAACATCCAAGAAAATGGTATACTCAATCAAGCAAGAATGTGCTAAAAATACTAAATACTAAGGCAGTGTATGCACCCCATATTAAATTCACTATTTCTCATTTGAAGTTTTTTTGTTTTTTTCAGAAATTGCAATGAGTTTGACTGAAGCTCTACATTTCAATACGTTTGGTGGTAATCCACTAGCCTGTTCTGTGGGCTCTGAAGTTATTGATGTGAGTATACAGTCCAATGTTTGTCAACCACCACGAGAACCTTCAAATTTTAGGCTCTTTGCAACTGGCATGCTATAAATAACACTGAATATTGCTGCGCCAATTATTTGTGGCATGAAACAAAGATGAAGTTGAGAACCTGCAGCTGTGCCATTATAGTTTTTTAACTATATTTGTAAACTGGAGTAGTAAACAAACTGGTAATGTGGCAAGGACTATATAAATCATACCACCAAGGAGACTATCAGCGTCAGTATTAGCCCTCAAATCATATGGTGGTTGTGTAATGTATCTGGGGGCTTAGTCTTTTCCACGAAACAAAACAAAACGAAACGAAACAAAACCCTAACCCTAACATTAACTCAAATTTTTTTTCATTGGCCTAATAATATCTGAGAAAATGAATAGCGCCATCAGTATTCAACAATTCCAAAATGGCTGTCACGTCAACGCAAATGAATCGAGCTGCAAAGTAGGCGGAAAGAGGTGGAAACTAAATATTCTCGACAAATTTATTTCTGTGACGTGGCGATGTTTGAAGTCGTTCAAAATTTAAGGTTAGGGTTAGGGTTAAGATTTCATTTCGTTTCGTTTCGTGGAAAATACTAAGCCGTATCTAG